TTAAAAGCTTCTTAAAAGCAAAAACTGAAAGAGATTATCACAAATTCGTTACAATAATGCTACTGTCAGTTCTGCTTCTTATACAGACACCAATATTGTCAGTGAAAAATCGCTTTGCTTTTTTTTAACTGTTAAGAAGTGTATTTTAGACTAACAAAATCGTTTTGCCATCAATGCTGAAAATTCATCCAATGTCAGCCTGGACAAACCGTTCTTTTGCGCTCACAATCTTCATATTTTTTTCTTCCTATATTGTAAGTTTGTTCTTTTAATCTCTTCTTGTTGATAAATTGGGTATCCAGTTTTATGGTTATTTGTTCAGATGATAGTTATTCTGTATGAATGGAACAGTCTTCTGTTAGTGAAACTGATTTATGAATTTAAAGTGTAATTCTAGCTAACACGTGATGGTTAAACAGTGGAATATATTTAAACTGTTAATGCGGCAGAATCTTTGTCTCAAAACTTTCAGTAACTACTTTTTAGTTACCTGCATCAGCAGAAATAGTAATAGATGACGTAATCTGTCCTGATAACTCTTCAAGATGTCCAGGTAGCACAACGTGTTGTCAACTGATGAGTAAAAAGTATGGTTGCTGTCCATTACCAAATGCTGTTTGCTGTTCAGACCGTATGCACTGCTGCCCATCAGGAACTCGGTGTGATACTTCCCAATCGAGATGCATCACTGTAATACATATTGTTTTTTCAAGGGGACGGGGGGGCTACTTCTAGATCTGAAGAACAGTTTTTTGCGCGACTGCATGCCCCTGTTGATCTGAAGCAATGCATAATAGACCATGGTTTTACTAAAGGGAGCAAGCACTAATGCTCGCACGTATGGTCAGCCTTCAATTTATATGTAAAGGAAGGAGGCTATCTTCTGTAACTGATCACTTCCATTGCGCTTGAATTTGCAGGCGGCCGACCATGCGCTAACATGGCATCAACTATTCAAGCAAAAAAAACCTACAGTACTAGCAGTGCCGTACGTAAAGGCGTGGATAACCTGCAAGGATGGAAGCAGATGCCCTGGATTCACTAAATGGTAAGTTTTGAACTGTTTATTCAATCAAATTATCAAGCCTTTTAGGCTGATGTGACCAAAAGTGCATCTTCAAGAAGCTTCTTTAGCTTTTGTCAGGTTAGACCATTGGGCCATTGGACAATTTACAGCGCTACTGCGTTTTAGCAGTTAAATGAGAAATAAGGTTCGAAAAGTAGATTTATAAAGTTGAATAGTATTCTTAGAGGAGCATGTTAAATTAGATATTAAAACCGTTTGAGTAGTTTAGGCATTTGTTTTCTTTTATTATTTTAAAATTGAGAGGGGAAATTCTGCTAAAGAAATTGAAAGGAGTTTTTCAGCTGCAGCAGAGCCGACGGTAACTTTGGGTGCTGCCCAGTTAGGAGAGGTATTTGTTGCGGAAATGGAACGTTTTGTTGTCCTTACCAATTCAGGTTAACATTTCTGCATATCACAGTTTTTTAACAGATTTTATTACTATGTACATTGTTAAACCGATGACGGGTGTGCAATATAGGTGCGATATGGAGCACAATCGTTGTGTTAAGGGGGCCGTTTCACGCGACCCAGTCGAGCTACTAGTTGCATCATCGGTAAATACTAATATCTGTTCTTAAAACCAGTAATCGCTCAACAAATTCGTACTTTGTAGTTCTACTGTGGCTAGCAGTATATAATTTTCAGCAGCTGGAAGAGATGGAAGTTTGTAAAGATGGGTCTGCGTGCTCAGCGACGAATAAATGTTGTCCGTTAACAAATAACATGCTTTTTGGCACCAGATACGCTTGTTGTCCTTTCGAAGAAGTCTCAGAAACTTTTATATTTTTTAGCTTTTGCCACTTTATACAGATTATAAACCATGAATAGTTATTTAAAACTAACAAATTTCTACCTCTCAGTTTTTATGGAAATTAAAATGAAATACTGGGAAAGAGTGAACTATCAGATTGGTCATATTGGTTGAATACAGTGTTTTCATTCTTGGCGAAAACCAACATTTCATTTTTCATTTATTGAGCAAAGGTCATTTGAAAAATAGCTTTTGAGTTTTTAAAACAGAAGAAATTTGTTAAAATTTTCCTTTTCTATTTGAAATTGCAATTCTTCGTTAAACAAGTTGATTGCTAAAAAAATATTCACTGAACTTAAACTAGTATATTTGGGTCGAGAAAGTAGGAATTAAAAATTGAAACTTTGCAGAGTCCTAAAAAAGAAGTTAAGATCTGTAAAATTTAGATGCAATTAAAAGTGTCTTGGTACTGGAGGAATTTAAAAGCTGCTTATAAAAGATTTGAAAGGAAAAATGTCTAGTGTTAAATGCAATTACTGTTACATTAATCGAAAAATGAGCCTAAAAGTAGTAGCATAATTTTCAGGGTATATGTTGTGGATTGGAATGTTGTCCGAAGGGATATCGCTGTGCAGAGAATTTCACTTGTGAAAGATTACTCGGCAAACATCGACGGCATTGATGAGATTTTACTATTTACCTACTGAACTCATAGTTAATTCTTGTCTGCAAGACTTTCTGTCGTTATATAACCAATTTTTTGCATAACATCAAGTTTGACTACTTGTAATTGATGTAAATGAGCTTTGTACATTATTTTTTCTTTGCTTTTTGTTTGCTGAACCAAATTTGATTTTTCCTTGATTACGTCAACAGAAAGTTTAAGCGTTGAAATTTGTTCTCTAAAAGTGTTACATTAATCTGGTAAGCTTCAAGGTTTGTTTTTAGTGTTTTTATTATTCGGCTATATCGACCAGTGGTCGCAGCTTGTCAATCCATTGTTGTATGGAAGTACCACAGTCTTCTAATTCACATGGCCAAATAAAGTACACGTTCTTCAGCGAAAAACAGATTATCTCTGCGTGTTTCGTGCCTCTGCGAATGGTTCAGTTTCTTAGCGCTGAGTGAACATTTTTGGCCGAAAAAATTCAGCAGGATTTACCGGATTTACCCAGAATTTATCGCTTTTTTTTACACAGCACAGTTTGCAGGTCAACAACAAAGTATCTTTTATGTGCAATCATTTATTTACTTTTTGTCATCACAGTTGCAGTTACCCGAATGCGGAAAAAAGTAGTCATGAAACAGGGCTGTTTTAAAAGATCTTTTGCTATTAATACTGGTCTTTTGCACTTTGCATTTTCATTAAGATTGAGTTTTCTTTTAAGTTGTTCGTTGTCCGTACCCAAATCGCTTATCTTGCTTAAACCTCTGCTTTTTGTACACGGTAGCGGTATTATCGGTATTGTTGTTTCCACTTTCGCTGTGGCCAAACAGCTGTCATTTCTTGGCGCTGACAATTGGATTTTGGCATTTGTGCAATATGGCAGAATTGGTCGTCATTTCGTAAAGCGTCTGTCGGAAAGTAAACAATTGGAAAAAATTTGTCGTTTCAATTGTTCGACTAAAGTTTGAATAGCTGAGAAAAGAAAAGTAATGCTTTCTTGAACAATAGAATTTTTCTATTTCTTAATTGTAATTAACAGCCTGCTGGCATTTGCATTAAACATTCAGCTTGATACCAACATATAGTATCAACATATTATCATAAATGTAGTTGATTCAACTTTTAATATGTATAACATGCGTATTTGTTCAACATTTAGCTTAACGTTTGCAGCAAGGTATGGCAGATCGTTGTTAAAGTTTTTGAACTGTTGACTTAACAGAAAAAAAAAAAGTTGGGAAAGAAGAAAAAAAGATATCAGATGCTAATGAAAAAAGTTGCTAAGCGAGAGTTGTATAGTGTTAAAATAAATGGTTGACATATATATGTGTCACCAATATTCTTAATGATATATTCGTTTCGTTGCAAATTTTTTGCCGCCTTGAATTTCTGAATACACAACAAAAAATTTTTTGGTTTATTGACGTTGGTGCTACCAAACATCTTGATTACACTGATCATAAACTGCTATTGAAACAGGAATGAATAAAACTGGGCTGATGTTGAAGCATCGTTTAACGTGGCGTCTGCTGGCAAATCTGTTACGTAAATTACTGTAGAACAATTTTTCTACAGAGGCTTCGACTGATACTCAGAAGAATTGATTCAGTAATTCAAAAATTTATGAATTTTTATAACTGGTCAAGGAATTCAGCTTCTGAGCTTTTTCCTATGTATAGCACTATTTTAATAGCTTCCCAACATTGTTCGTTGTCACCTCCAACAATTTTTCTATTACAATTGCTAACTAGGCGGAATCGAAATCACGTTTAAACTAACAAGTGCAGTCGATTGCAAACAAAGAGAAATTTTTAGTCAAGCAGCAGGGAGCACTTACAAGTTCTGGCACAGTCAGCTGTTTTGGTGACCTGATAAACGATTTTCATTTTTTTTTTCTTTTTTTATTTCTGATAGTTGATCGGGTTTGTTATTTGAATTTTTAATCTGTTTTGTCTTTTTTTTTTAGCATTATACCATTTTCTAGTCGATATAAATCTTGACTGTGTTTTAGTTAACTTCTTGATGCAATTTTATTGTTTAATTTTTTGGTTGTCTGGCTACGATTTTGCTCTTGTACCTACTGTTTATTATTAAACCTTAGTGTTTTATTAGTTGCGAATTTAGTCACCCGAATCTGCGGAAACAAATGGTATCAGTGGGCCACCAACCTATATCACTGCATTTCGGCCAACCAAAATTCTCTTCCATTAAGGTTATCCACTGGCTAAAAAATGTTATGAAAATCTGTCACTACGAGCTGCCCTAACATTAGCACAGTTTATTGGTTTCTAGCTCAACCATTTTTTCCTAGACCATAAATCTAGTGCTTTACTGTTTCTACACAACATCGACTATTTACCTGTCATTAAAATACTTCATTCGGAACCTCAAAGCTGATATTTCAACTTGTTATTTTTGCCTAACCTTAATAACGCTTTTCTTTGTCACCCAGACTACTATTAAAATATTTGTAAAACTGTTTTGGGTTAGAGGCTGTAATGATGCTCATACCAACAGTGTAAAAAAGAAGTTTCAAAATGTAGTAAAAAAATACAGTTTTAGACATTGATACAATGAAATTACATTTTGTGATGTTCCCGTAAATAACAAGTGTAGACATAAATCGATACTAAAATGCACTGATTTTTCTGTAAAACTTGTTCAATATATGAATTTAGTGGTATTTCGGTTAGTATTAGCTGTAAAATGGTTCTTGAGACGGCAGTTCTACGCGCTTTATGAATAACTTTTTTTGACAGTTCCACTGAACCTTTGGTTTATTTTTTAGTTGATTTCAGAATGCTGTTTGTAAGAAGAATTGCTTTTTTCTTTTTTTATATCGTTGTTCGTCTACTCATTCATTTCCTACTAAAATTCAAGTAGAAAAATGAAAGATTGTTATTTATCAACATTCTAGAATTCCGTTTTTTTATTGGTATTGGAAAAACCTGGCTTTTTTTAAAAGTATTTTTTGATTGTATCGAACCCGAATAGTCATAACTTTCATCAATCTATAAGGTTGTGTTTGTTGCTTTCATGAATAAATTTGGTAGGCCTATACGGGAAAAAAGCGGCAGTTGGATAACGGGACAGTGAAACCAGTCAGACAACTAATGAAATTTTTTTATTTAGAAAAGTTTGATCGAACTGCTGCCAAATATATTTGTTAGATGAAAGGAAATTGCTTTGAAGAAATATTTGATACGCCCATTGTTATTCTTCACTACAGAGGACATCTAATTCCTAACTCACAGCCAATTTGCTTGCTTAGAATAAAACAGCTTGCCACTTTACCGTGAGTTGACTTCGTTTTAATAAATTTCTTTCGGTTATGCTATGATTCGTAATTGGACTTTTTGTTAGCAATCATAAGTCGGAAAAAAAGTGGATAAACTATAACTACAAACAATCTCAATCACCAAAATAGTGATTTGGTAAAAGAGCCAAAATAAAGGCGACTTGAAAGACAGCAATTATTTGAAGGTCTTTTACTGTGTTAAAATTTATGATTCACGCAGACTGATGAAATTATTAAAAAAAAAATTATTTTTCTTTCGTCTTTGATCTTCCAACGTTGTAATATCAGAACAGCTTCAAAAGCACTGTTTAAAATATTCTTTTGGTTGGGAGTTTAAAACCCATAGTGATAAGGTTTAAAGTTATAATCTGCTTTTTCTTGTTTTTTTCACTGGTTAACGAAGGACAACATTTATAAGCAAAAATCGTTTATAAGAAAAAATGTGGAGAAGTTTTACCAGCAAAATTTTAATAGTGTTTTATCAAACTGATGACTAATGATTTTTTGCAACAGAAGAGAAAGGAAATGCTGCGAAGAATAGAATTCTGTGGGTTATTTCAGTTGATGAGTCATTCTGATGAGTGTAGCTTTCTTTTTTTTAAAATCTGATAGGTTATAAGGTTGTTGAAGTAGTTGATAGCAATTGTACCATCATATTCTTCAAAACAGTTTTCGTGATTTTTTACCTGCTGTCATCTTTTCCTCATCAAACTTTACATTTATTTGGTTTATCATTTGGATTAATATATGCAATGTTAAAGCTCGAGCAAATTTGCTGTAATCTTTATTGTACAGATTTTATTTGTAAAAAACAGTTGTGTTTGCGGAGATAACTATTTTCCAGAATAGAAAATTTTAATTATGAAAGGTTTTTATGATAATTTTTATTTGCATACTTTTTGATGCGTTATTGATTGCAAATGTACAATATTAATAATACAATAATTTTTAACGAGAACGTAATGGGTGTTTTACAAAACTTCCAGAATTTTTTTGTATTTGAAGGATTTGAAGATGACGATATCTAGTCACTGTTATTTTCTTCTGTTAATCATTTATTATTTTATCATTTCTACTCAATCATTAAAGTGCTATTCTGGAACCACATATGTTAGAGGCCAAAAAATAAGTAAGTTATCAGCTGATATTTGTTTGTATAGGTTTCTTTTTAACACTATTTTATGATTGTTATTATTTGTTTCTTTAATCAAAACACTTTTTTGGTAGTCCTTATTGAACGTTAAAAACTGAAGAGGAAGAAAAAAAGAAAGATATCTTATTAATCGTATTAAAATATTTAGCTGAAACAGAGGAATGCTCAAGTCGATTAGATTTTTGCTATCGGTTTTCTGCTACTGCTAATCTTCTAGCAAAAATGAAGATGGCAGGATGCTCAACATTTCGATGTCAAGTAAGCGTTGCAAATGATTTTAGTTGATAAGGCTAATAGAAGTACATTACTTTTGGGATACTTTCAGTCGGATTGTTGCTTTCTTAGAAATGAGTGTACGAAACCACTGATAATTCATTCCAATTAGAATTAAAAAATAGTATCTAGAGCTAGTTACCTTCCAGAAAAAGACTCAAAGTTATATTCACTATATAAATATTACTTTGAATTTTTTTTTTTCAGCTAGCACGAAATACCTGCCGTAATACAACTCTTACCGGTATTCCAGTAAAACTTTGTTGCTGTAACACCGATTTATGTAATTCATAAATTCTGAAAGCTATAGTCAGAAAAGCATTAACGGACCAGTCTTTGACAGTAATATTTCTGCACATGTGGTTATGTTGTAATAATTAATGATTATATAACAGAATTAAAAAAAAAAAAAAACTGAATAGGTTTTTTTTTTTTTTTT